GCCTTTGTAAATCCAGCATTTCTCCCGTTTGAATGCCCATAACCCGGAACCTTGCCCTTCACCCTGAATAGCAGATTTCGGCACATTGCAGGCCCCCGCTAAAGGCCTCAGCTTTGGCGTCTGCCTTTCCTGCCCCGGTTACTGGTTCTCACTCCTGCTCCTACCCTCCTTCCCTCACTCCAGGTATTGAGGCGTCTCTGTCTCTCCACCTTTAACTTTCTTTTCTGCCTCTCTCTGCCTTGGTGCCATTGTGCACTAAAATAATTGAACAAATCAAATCCGCAATTTTTCCCCCATGTCCTAAATAAATAAATATTATTATTTATACATTATATATTATGCATACTTATTGAATATATTTGAGAGTTGGGACTCCATCCTGTCAAATATGCACTTTCTCTCTTTTTGGAAGAGCCTTTAATATTGTCCCACATTACCTATAGAACATACTGTCCCACTTTCCCTAATGCGGTCCGGTGGGACAGATGAAAAATAACTCTGTTTTAAAACAATTTTAATTTTTTATTTTACTGCACTAGTATATCATAGACATAATTACATAATAAAATAGGTGCAATTTATTTTTTATAACAGATTTATAGTCTTAATATCAATACAATCAAAAACACGTCATTCACCTTAAGCTGGGGTTCTGAGGGATGGTCCCGTAAAATGCTTGCCACGCCCCCAACTGTGACCTCAGACTAATAAAACCTTGTCTTTTTTTAGATCATATGCTTTCCATACCAGCTCTCAATAACAACCACTCTAATTGGACTTACTTTAGCCAGGAAAAAAAACTTAAACTTATCTGTCCCACATTACCTGATGTCTCAACACCTGAATTCGCCCAAAACCATAATCATCAGTATAAGACGACATATTGCTTTGCATCCAATGCATATTTTTTCCCGATGACTTTTGCCGCAATAACACAACATTGTGTAGCTAAGCCTGCCTTAATGTTTGATCTCAGAGAGATTGTACACGGAGTGAGGCGTGGACGTTACATTTTGCCAATTGAATATTGAACAGGCTTATTGGGGAGGGCTGGGGGCGTGTTGAATATTTATCTGGACTGCTTAAAACGCGCACCAGCAAGCTCAGCTGTTTCAAGCCTGTCTAAATTTATTAATCTAGCCAGTACATTTTTTGTATCTTTTAAGACAAGTGCTTGGGTTATGGATGAAAATCTCAAGTGAGAAGTAAAACTTGCAGGGTTTTATTGTATTTTAGAATTTTTGTAATTAAAAAAATTGTTTCGTTTCTAACACTGTTTGGACACTGATACAACAATAGTAGCTGATTAGGTTTTTATATTTGTATTTTCATATAAAACACAGGATAATGAATTTTTGGCGTAGTTTGTTTTTTTTTGTGGTATTTATTGAAAAATCGATTGCAGGTGAGATTTTTTCTCTCTCTCTCCCTCCTGTTCACCTGCTCTCTTCTGCCGACACTGAATTTTAACGGATACGTTCAAAATAAAGAGTTTACAATTTTTTAGAACTTGCGGCGTGTAACGAAGTAATTTCGGTAAACCGTTTTATACTTGCAGGGATCACAGACGTCTGACCATAATCTTAATTATGTGCTTATTCTGATAAAATTGCTTCACACGCTTACGTCGTCATGGATAACGAAAAAAATCGAAGAGATCGTGTATCGCTTAAAATTGTTTTTTTTTTTCTTTTAGCTGACTTCTGTTATGAAGACAGTCATTGCAGTAAGTTTTTGGTCCTTTATTTATAGTATGTGTTTGGATTTTGTTACTTATTGAATTACGCAACTGATTTGAAAGCAAAGGTTTTATACTTTTAATTGATTTCGTAAATAATGCCCTCTTGTGGGTTACCTAGTTTTCAACAGACCTCCTTTGAAGGTTTGGTGGCGTCTTTCTCTCCTCTTTTTTTAAGGTCCAAATTCGTGGGGGAACAGCTTTGCGCAGTGCCGTCCCAGGACCGATTCGCGTCAATCTCCGATCAATCTGGACTCAAAGATGACTAGAAACGAGTCCCTAAGACCCCTGGATCTCCAGGGCTTCGACGCCGCCCCGTCGGGAAACTGGACCTTAAAAAATAACGGGCATACCGGTGAGTTTGAGATGCCCGAGATCCCGAAAGTGGAGGACATCCTGTGCCGGCGTATAATTTATCCGAAAAACTGCCTGTTGGTGAAACCTACATAAGACCCCCCTCCCCCATCTTCTCTTTCCACAACAGTACATTTTTATATCACAGCACAATAGTTTTTAATGTAGGGCTTCTCTGTCGTGTTTAGGTCAATGCACAGAATTGTTTTAAGGCATTTTGGCATCACCGGCCATAAGCAATATTTTATTGCAATTTCTTTACCAGTACTGTTGCTGAATGTTTTCTCCGGTCTGCAGTTCCCTCAGGTCTTCTGCAGTCATGAAAGTCATGATGCTGATCAGCTACTAAAACCACTTTATTTTTTTATAGTAATGTTAGACGTTAACGGACTCTCCGTGAGCGGCGGGGGATTGCCCGGCTCGTACCAGGCACAACAGCTTCACTTTCACTGGGGCAGCTCATCTACGAATGGGTCAGAGCATACAGTCAATGGCCGCCGATACCCAATGGAGGTCACTACCCTTCTTGTACCTTATACCCAAGTATGGAGCTGAAATGGGTTATTGAAATGGCCGTTCCAGCCATAATGAGCTGTCTGTAGCTGATTTTGTGCCCAAGGTAGTGAACTTGAAACTGAACTGAGGTAGAAGTTTGGAAGGATTCTTGACTCATTTATCCAAGTTGATGGGTTTTTGCTAAATCGGTTTCCTCTAAGTCCTGCTAAGCAGTTCTGATCATCAAGCAGATAATGTCATGCAGAATGAACTGAAATGACCCTTCAACCCCGCCCCCCCCACCTTTTTCCCAGATGCACATTGTGACCATGAAAACCACCGACCAAAACTTGACGTCTGCTCTGAATGACACAAGTGGTCTTGCAGTGCTTGGCGTTTTCATCGACGTGAGTCTTGATTCGGTCTAGAGTTGTACTTTCTGAACCCGAGATCGCCACCTGTGGTAGATGCCGACCCATGTGTGCATTTGGCAGGTAGCAGACCAGGACAATAACAACTTCAGCGCAATCTCCGATTTGGTTGCCTCTGTGAAATATAAAGGTGAGTCAAGACCTCGGGGTGCAGTATGCAGTGTGCAGTATGCAGTATGCCCCTTGCTGCTACCTATTCTACAGTTCCTACCTGCCTCTTGCCCCCCTGCAGGGACAACTCTGCCCATCTCCCCTTTTCCTCTGATTTCTCTCCTGCCGGTGCGAAATATGTCCCAGTATTATCGCTACCATGGAAGTCTGACGACTCCCCCCTGCAGCGAGGCTGTGATGTGGACTGTGTATGAGGTTCCCATCTACGTGTCCCAGAAACAGGTACGTGCGTCTGCTTTGTTACTCCCCGCCCCCCCAATTCTCTGCTCCCTGTGTCAGACTGCTGTCTCTCCACCGGAAGATGGTACCCAGTAAATCCGTAGACGAGTTGGGATGAATTCTGAGCTAGAGCTATGATTTGAGTTTTGTTGTGATGGCTTCCCCCCCCCCCAGATTGATGCCTTCACCTCCGGAGTGTACTACACCGAGGACGGTGCAAACAAAGCTCTACTAAGAAACAACTTCCGGGATGTACAGGCGAGAGCTTCCCGGGCGCTGTATGCCTCCAGGGATGCCAGGCTGCTCCCCGATTCCTCCACGCCCTTGTCCTCGTCCCACCTCAGCCTGGCCCTTCCCCTCCTCCCCCTGCTAGCTGCATGGCGACTGTAAGCATCGTAATGACTTGGGCTTGGCTTGGGACTGGCAGGGCGTTTGCTGATGGAATGAAGCTGCGCTGCCTTTGAATGTCTATTTTTTTTTTCTGGTTGGTGCCTGCTTGAGGTTTTGCTCAAATGTGGAACTATTAGACTAATAGGTCAATCAAAAGAGTGGTAGTACAGACCCAGTCATTCTAACTTCCCAAACAATTTACCCTAAAGTAGTAGTAGCTATGGCTCATCTTTTGTTGACTTGTTTCATAATACTGGGTGACTGTCAGTAGGTGGAGCTCTCATACCACACCCTGCATTAAAAATGCTCACGGGCTGAGGATCAACAGTCTTCTCTCTCCTGGCAAGTGGATGTCAGCATGTTGCAACAGGACCTGGAGCTCATTGGCTCTGGACTGTGATTAGAGTTCCACAAACCAATGGAAACTCTTTCCTGCAGTATTCACTCGGCAAATCCCGAGCAGGCTAAGGATCTGTGTCCTTAAAGACGGAACCTTGCATGTATGACGCCAATGCTGCATCTAAGGTGAATGTTGGAAGCCATGGATCAGGCGTGAGCTAATGAAGAGCGTACGTCCTTTGCTATGTAGGACGGTGGCTTACGAACGGTGGCTGGGGATCCCATTGTTCCATTTGCATCTTTCGTAGGCTGATCTTGGGTAATGGTTCACTGGCAACTGCACATCCTGATAATGCACTTCTGTTTTGTTTTTTTTGTTTGTTTTGTTATTGTGGCCAGGTGTTTGTCATTGGGAAAATAAAAGCCTTTGTCTCAATCTAGTGCTTCCAGCGTATTCATAAATGTGTCCTTTTTTTTATGACCTAAATTGTCATTAAGGGGGTCCATATTACTGCAAAATAGAGCTGAAAAAGTGGTCTTTATATTCGGGGTCTAGACCACAAAAGGAATAGGTGGCACCAAATACATTTTGTAATGAGTGTTTTGAATTGACATAATAGATTTGCTGTAAGATTTCTTGCGTGAGAGTCTGAGCGTGTGTGTCACTCCAGATGGGTGAGAGGTGGCGATGCGTGTGTTTAGCATGTAGCCCTGAGTGCATGTAAATTGCTGGCTTCCCTGGCTGTGCTGCTGCTAAACATTAAACCGATAGTGGCTGTTAAAGATCGTAGCATTCGTTTAAAAAGAGCCATCATATTTATTAATAGGGCTTAACCTTCCTCTGGTATACTTTTTGTTTTTTTAAACCCTCTTCATGTGAGTCTGCTGCATGAAAAATATTCTGTGCTCTCAAGGGTTCTGGAGTTTAATATGTCCCCCCCCAACAAATGTTTTTTTTTTTTTTTTTTTTTTGGGAAATGTTTGCTGTTTCATACATATTGTAATCTGATTTCCTGTGGTTGCTGGTTAAGTTGTATGTATGTCAGAATTATCTTTATAATGGTGCCAAAGTGTGGTGATGTCATATTGTATTCAGGCCAATACGGTACTCGTGGACTATAAGGGATGACTTATTCTCCACTGAAGTATCTTGACTTATTTTCTTTCAGAAGCAGAAGATGGACTTAAGCTGGGCCACAGGTGTGGAATGACTGGTTTAATCTGTCGCTAATTGTACATTGTGCAGACCCATGGGCTGCATGTGAGATGGAGTGCAAGTTCCACCTCTACAAAGTTAGAACACGGTGTACAACCCTGACAAATTTGCAATTTTAACCCTCATGGGATTGTTTTCATAGGCCTGTATTTATCCTTCATTAAACTACCAGGTCAAATGGGAACTAATTTCTTGGTCCAGCAGGAAGAGTTTCTAACCTTCTGTGGGTCGCCAACCTCTCCTGCCAGCTACAGATCAGGCCAGTTGGGCTGTAACCAGCAGAACACAGCATGATGTGAATGATTGAGGTTTTATGCCTGTTTCTGCATAGACAGTAATACCGCGGAGTCAGGTGTTGGTAGGGTGACCACCTAATCCATGTCAGGAGGGACACTATGAGCTACAACAGGATTTGTAAACCACCATTTCATACATTTCAATTGAAAGGAGCAGGATTTCACTTAAGCACTGGGTTCTTGCCGTATGCTGATTGGTCAGTCTCATATAATCATGCATATGTGTCAGTAATGTTAAAGCGAAACAGCTGGATGAGTCTTTCAATCTATGAACTAACCAAACATTTTAGCAGAGCACAGAACCCTTTCAGCTTTAAAGTAGTTCGTAAAAGCTGAAGTAGCTCATAGTGTCCCTCCTGACATGGATTAGGTGGTCACCCTAGGTGTTGGCTGCCAGTATAGTAGTATAGTACTGGTACTGTCTGTGACTCTCCCTCCAGCCTCCTTTTTGTGTGTGTGAGGGGGGGGGGGCTTCTTTCTTGCATTCATCCAGTTGCACTTCAGTGTCCGATTACCGATCACACTGTGCGATACGGATCTGATCTAATAATCTTGGCTATGACAGCACAGGTATGCAGACTATACGAGGACAACACCAATTCAATCATAAGGTACGGCGCATAGGACAACAAAACAAAATGTAAACACTGACAGCATGCGTGAACACTGACAGCTCGCGTAAACCCCACAATGAATCGCGAACTGTGTACGGCGCTTTAATGTCACACTGGCACTTCTGATCCCGTTGACAGGAAATGTGCCGTCCTCCTTCAATATGCTAAGGTTATTGGTAATTTATGTTAGGTCTGATATTAGCACTCCCTACATGCTATTGTCGTATTGAAAATTCACTAACTAGCTAACACCTGGGCGATGCAGCTAGCTTACCACACTGCTAACCCATTTTATTTTCAGTGCTGCGAAGACACTGTTTTAGGCTACTCTGTGATTTGCGTTTGAAAAATTGATTTAAACAGAGTAAGTGATTACACAATTAACTGAAATGTCATATCCTGTCTGATGCAAGATCTATTCAGATCAGAAGTGAAATGGAACCATATATTTTCGCAAGTATATAAAATGCTTGTATTATAATGTAATCCTGAAGCGTCACGTAGTGGTCAAATCACTCGTAGTTTATCTTGTTTTGGCTCCCAAAAAGTTTATATTATGAACACACATTACAATTTAATAACTGAAGGCTGAGTTTTAACTTTTTTTTTTTTTGTTGACATTTTATGTATTTTTTATGTAACATTGATGTTATGACTTGTTACACTGAGGGAATCTGGGTTTTCACTGAGTATGAAGCCCGGATCTATTTTTACCCGTTGTTTAAAATCATTATTAGGCCTAGCCTATATGGTATATGTATGGTATGTTTGGTATCTTTATTAAATTGATCAATTATAATCATGTTAATTCATGTATTGAAAGGAGTTTGACAGTAGGCATGCAGTGTCATATAATAATTGAAATAGTTACACTACTATTACATTTTAAATAGCGTAACTTGTAATTGTAACGAATTACATTTCCAAAGTAATCTTCCCAACACTGTATGTATGTGTGTGTGTGTGTGTATATACTGTATATATATAATCAGACATGTTTGTTACGGGGTTTTTCATCACTTTATTTCCATGATATACACAAGGCACATCATTTAATAGTTTTATTTGTCAGGATGTTAATTTAACAATGCATGATTTTGTCAGTATTTATATATGTGTGTTTGGTTTGCGTTTTCCCAAGTTGCAGTTGCCTGGAGGAGCATAACCATGAGCATAACAGCCCAGGGGTTCGTGCGTGCATATTTTCAGTCCGACAGGCAAACAGTCCGGGTCATTGTGGTTCCCTTTAAATTCCCATTGGCAGTTCCAACAGGACCCCACAGCAGGGGGATAGGTAATTGGTTTCCGGCATAACTGTTTATTATTTTCTAGTTAATATTTTTGATTTAGTTAATCTTTATGAAGCTGTTTGTATAATGTGATGAGCCAAATATGTTATGTGGTTTATTGATGCAGGTGTATTTGTTGTTGTGGTGCCTTAATTTTGTTTGCATTTTGTTTTGTTGACCTAATTTTATTGGCCCCAGGATTTTCCTTCGTTGGCTATTTTTCTGTATATTTGTGATTTTTGGATTTGAATACATTTTGTCTTAATATCAAACCCTGCACCCCTGTGTCCGCTTGCTGGTCCGTCACAGTCTGCATCAAATTTTTTCGTGGTGCCACCTGTGGACTAAATATGGCTGCAGCAACAGGTTATGGACCCCGGAGGAATGTAGGACACTGGTGGCATGGACTGTACTTCAGAGGTGACATGAAACTACGAGATTTGTAGGACGAATTTTCTAGGCCACCTGTGCCTGCTGGGGATGAAAGACACCATGCTGAATGAACCTGACACAGACTGCGATGGAGACGGCGAGGTAGAAGATGCCAGGAGAAATAAAGAAGCATATACAGAGCTGATTCGGTTTTAGATGATGAACCTGTCCCTAGTAATGAAAGAAGTGACAGATAGTGGGAGAACGTCTCTCCAGATCTTAAAGGAATATTATGCAGGTAAAAGAAACCCCAGAGTGATTAACCTGTTCACAGAGTTAACGTCCTTGCAGAAGCTTGCAAATGAGTGTGATGGAGTATATAATTCAGGCAAAGATGGCCATTACTAGTCTACAGAATCCTGAAGAGACAGTTACCAATGGACTCCTAATTGCAATGGTTCTGAAAGTCATTTAAGCTGTTTATTATCCGCATAATGCAAGGTAATGAAAACATTTGCTGAGTTCAAAACCAAACTAAGGATTTTTCAAGATACCAAGAAGTATTGTAATAGCTCTGATGACAATACGGTGAAAGCGAACACCTCCAACCCCAAGCCAGACAGGGGGAGAGGTGTCGCAACTGTGCCGAGAAGGCGCACAAGGTGAGAACGTGTCCGAACGAGCATCAGAGAAAAGGGACACGCTGGTGTGACAGCTGCAGATGCTTGAGAGAACATAAAACAAGCCGCAGGAAATAGATACATGTATCTTCAAAGTGACTGACTGTCAGCTAAAGCGTATGAAACAAAATGGGCTGATGGTTGACTCGCGTGATGTCAGTTATCACAGACGTCTGAAAATTCAAGAGATTCAATGACACCATTCAGCCAGAAAAAACATTTTATTGAGTTGACCAGTGGTACAAGGGCAAGCGGTGTGGTCTGAAGAGAGGTGATGCTCAGGTGAGCCTGGTGAACAGCGACAGGAAGTGAGTGAAAGTAGCACTGAAGAAGGACCCGCACATTCCGTCTTGTCCACAGGACGACACCGCTGTGAAGGTGACGACAGACAGCAGGTGATCAACTTCAGATATGGACGTGATGAGCTCATCCAGAAAAACGGTACCAGGTCTGAAATTAAAGAGTACAATAGACTGTATTATTTGATCACTGACGAATCTGCTGATTGTTGTAACAGTTGCTTTGATATTCAAACTTGGCACAAAATCCTTGGTCACTGCAATTATGACAGTGTTTCCAAACTGCAGAATGTTGCAGAGGGAATGTGAATCAAGGGTAAAATTGATAAGTCTAAACCAAAATGTGAGGTATGTACGCAAGGGAAAATTGTTCAGAGCCAAACCAGATGCTCAGGGAAAAGCAGCACTTAGATCTGATAGGTCCAACTGACCCAGCAGCTAAACATGCCTTGGCACTTGTTGACGATTACTCAGGTGCAGTGTTTCTAAAAGCGAAGAGGGACACTGTGAAAGCAGCTGAAGGGATTCTGGATGGTGTATATCCCTTATGGAAGCGTGAAGTGCTTTGGGTCAGATAATGGCACTGACTTCACAGGAAAGGAATTTCAGCTGCTGCTTGATAAGCAGAGCATTAGACATGAGTCCTCAGCACCATACTGGCCGCGTAAAAGCGGCACGGCTGAGAGGATTTGGCGGACGCTACTGGATATGGCAAGGGGTTAGGATTAGGGTTAGGATTAGGGTTAGGGTTAGGGTTAGGCTGATTGAGAGCAAAGAGCTGTGGACATATGCTGTAATGACTGCTGAGCCATAAGGAACAGGTGTTTTAATAAAAGAACAAAAGAAGCCCCTTACTATATGTTAAACGGGAAGAGACCTAACTGTTCTAGAATGAGTGTTTGGATCTGAGTCTTACACATATAAACATGACAAAAAGAAGTTAAACTCATGGCGTGACAGGGGAATTTTTGTCTACTGTACTGAGACTAGGAAAGTCCTAAAACACAGACTTGTAGAGTCTGTCTCCAAGAAAGTAATCGATCATAAAATTCAGACTGATCTGACTATGGCAGGTTTTGTCTTTGGGTATAGATGATACAAATATGTGTTCCCTGTATCGAGAGCAGATGAAACTGACCAGCGTCAAGTGAAGACAGAAGTACCTCAGGTGGAACCTTCTGATGGCCAGGGTTCTACTCAGATAGCAGGAAATGAATGTGAGGTTCAGGTTCTGCTGATACGTGTGGAGCAAAGAGAGGAAGGGAAACCCAACACTGACTTGTCACTCACAGGTAGGTTATTCCTGACCTGGTCGTGGTGAGTCAGGCTGATGAATGGGCTGCGATTCAAGCTCACTCTGAGCTCCTGAGGGGCCTCTAATGGACCCCCCTCTTCCTTTCCTGGTTCTCTTGGCTCTCCAGATTTTCAATAACAGCTCTGGAAAATATGGAGCGACTACTCCATATTTTTGAAGAATCTGCATTGTTAAATCCTGGTCTAATCCTGGTTCTACTGGCAGAAGGCTACACTGCGAGGCAGGCTGCTTCCAGGCTCAACGTTTCTATGAGAGCAGTACACAAGAATAAGGTGAAGCAGGAGACGCTGGGAATGACCAAAAACCAGCCAGTTAAAGGGCGAAAGCGACTTTCTAATGCCAGGGATGGCCGTTAATTTACCCAACAGTTTCTCGTGAATCGTAGGATGATCTCAAGTGACCTTCAAAAAGAATGGGAAACATTAAGTGGGGTGAAGTGCAGTGCTAGGACAGTTCATATCAGGCTCCTAGAAGCAGGACCCATAAAGCAAGGAAGAAGCCCTTCATCAATGAGAAGCAGGGAAGAACCAGGCTAGAGTTTGCAAAAAATGTATATTTTACACAGACACACAAGTGAGAAATGAGTGAAACTGAAAATGTTGCTGTGGTCTCATTTGTTTTCCAGAGCTGTACATATCTGAACTTCTGTTTTTTTGGTTGGGCACATGGAATGGATTACATTTATGTAACTTTTCTGCTAATGTTCTGAGCTTTTTTGATATGATTATTTGTTTTATAAACTTTAACCTGTAAAATAACTGTAAAATAACACATATGTGCAGTTGTTTAAATACACATGTATGTGGGCCTCAGCTGAGTAGGTACCAGGACGCTTCTCAGGACACAAGGTGTGGTGTTAGAAGTGGGACACTTTTCATGGCCCATTTCAGGAGGTCTGTGTCACATGTCTGCAATCTGGCGCCTGCATTTGGAGTAGAACTGTGTGAAAAGGGGGTGTGTCTGAGATCTGTGGAGGTTTAGGGGACGAGAAAGCCACACCCTGGAAAGAGGTCCCAGTGTTTCCATGGGAACAAGCTTGTCGGGGCCCTGCACAGTCCGCAGCATCTCAGTACTTGGTCCGGGGTCAGAAGCATCCAGAATATACCCTGAAAAGCGGTTATAATATATAATATAAGCTCAAAAGTGTCATGTGTGGTTTTCTCAAACATGGACACACATCTTATGTATAAAATCATATTAATCTCGAGCTTAAATGGGAACTGAAGGAGTATGAATACGAGGGGGTATGAACTGGAAAATGCAAGTACATTACTGCACTGCAACTTAATCATTGCTACCATAGTTACTGTCAGAGCCAATGGGCTTCCAACTGAGAAATCTCTGGACAGGATTGGAGCATTTTAAGTGTAGTCCCTCCCCATTTTTTTGTTCATTTTCAGATGATACACATTACAAAAACACACAGAACTCTGTATACAGACGGCCGAAGCGCAAACATTCGAGATGTTCGGCTACTGTAAGGTAGGGCTTGGGGTGATGTTCTAAATAAAGGCGGAGGCACTGGTGTGCACTGTGCGTGCGTCTTTGATCCTGGCTTGGCTGGAGGTGGTGTTTGACCTCCCCGACTGGTGTGTAGGGGGGGGGGGACACTACCTGTTACCAGAGAATCCTGTGCCCTGGACTGAAGGTTTCTCTGGAGGTAAGTAGAACCACTTAAAGTGGGGTATATTCGATGTGTGAGGAAGGCACACGGCAGAGAGTAGGGAGAGTCACATGACCTGGAAAAAGACTCCAGCATTTCTCTGGGAGCAGGTGGCTGTCGGGATCCTGCACAGTGATGTGGGCGTAGATGTGCACTGTCTGTAGTCCCAGGGCAGAAGAACCTCGGACCAGGGTCCCGTTCTTCAGACGACACTAAACTGATCCAGCATAATGATAAATGATAAGCTGTCTGGTATTTCTACTTCAAGAAAGACGGATCTCAAATTTAATTGTCTGGTTAGCTTAAGACAGTCTCAGTCTCAGCTTTTGAAGAAACATAGTGTCACAGCAAAAACCTGATTCAATGATCAAAGAGCATGCCGTATATTATAGTGCAGTTGAGCAATCATTCATCATGCAGAGATAAGACTACAAAGATTTTAACTAATAAATGCAACACTATCACGGCAGACAACTCATGTGAGGGAGCTTGGAAGAAGATTTTCAATAAGCTAAATGCATAGGTAAATGTGCTGTATTTCATTAGGATGATCTATCCCATAGTTTAAGGTAATAGGCCATAGCCAAAGCCTTTGTGTCTTTTAATATAGCTACAATGTATATATTATAGCCAGTTTATTAAATTGCATATTAACAATTACTTGAAATAATGCATTGTGCTTGTACTTCACATTTCTAGTTTCATGGGGATTAAAAGATGCTGGCAGCAAGCAAGCAAGGACATCCTTATAATTGATGAGAAAAAAAACAAACAAACTGTTCTGTTATTTAACTGTAATTGTTCAGTATTCAGAGTTCTAATCTATAACCACCCTTTTTCCAGCAGATAGGCTTGGAGGACGAAGCAGCAGCTTCAGAGATGGCTGCCTGTACAACCGTTATCGTCCAAAACGTGCAGCATAATAGATTCCAGACTTGGGCAAAAACCAGCTCACGGCCATTTTTATTGGCCTGCGCAATCGTGTAAAAATAAAATAAATAAAGTTTTATGTTTAGTTCTGTGAAGATGAATAGTTTTTTGCCCAGAAATATTTATTTGAATTAGTAATAAATAAATATTATTAGTTTTATTAATTATTAATGATTAAGTTAAATATGACAATCGTACTGGTTTTATTGATTTTTGCATGCTTTATTAAATAAACGGAAAAGTGAAATCTAGTAAGTCCATTACCATACAGTAGCTTTCAGGGGACATGAATATAATCATTAAAATGACCTGGTGACATGGTAAAGCTGACGTTTGGCCCTCCACAGAAAATAATTACCTCGGCCTACAGTGGAGGGCAGCGAAGAGGCTGGAGCCGGTCCCATGAAATACGAGACACGAGTTACGGAAACACTGAGCGTTGAATTGGACTCCAAGAACCCACCAAACGTGAACGTGAATATCACCTTGTGTAGTTAACCCAAGACACACGTAAGAGCACCAGTTACTCATTAAACTTTGTGGCTACAGGGGTTATTGCATGCATTCACCTGTTTTTAAAGATAAACAGGCCCAATAAAATCATTACGGAGATTTCCGTAGTAGCATTTTCAAAATGTCCTTTATATTGTTTAATTACAGCTGAATATTAAAATCTGTATGCAAATGTTTGTGTCATTTAAACGAAAAGAACACAGGCACATGAGGGAGGTAATTTATAAAAAAATATATAAAGTTTTGTGGAAGAATAAATGTAAGTACGAAAACTCAATGTTCATATGAACAGTAAAAGTCAGATTTATAAAACTTTTCGTAAACTGAGATATAAATCAAACTTATCATGGAAACACTCTTATATGTGCATGCTTAAGAGATTACCACCCAAGAATTACTCGATATTTGGCCAATGCCAAACCATTTTATTTGTTAGTACATCTGCCGGTGTGACAAACAAAAAACATTGTTGAATGGCAGCATGTGACTACCACTGCTAATGCGGTCAGCTCAACAAGCTGGACAAAATAGGACAAAAAATGCCCAGATTCAAAATCCATTGAACCGGTCTTCCTCTTCTCTGCTCTTCTGTACGTAATCGCTGTCCTGTGAGTAGTAGACCTGTGTGTGAATATTAGTCAGCTCTGGCATACATCTACCTACTTAATTTGGATTTTTCAGTATGTATACCTCTTACTTTGATTCTACGCAATAAATACATTTGTATATATGAAGTCATTCGTTTCAACAATAAAGCAAATTCTGAATGTTAGCTGTATATGAGATGCGATAGAAATGTTTCTGCATAGATTACGTTTTTTCTCGGTTGCTTGGGACAAATTCTCAGATGGAAATTGTATTTCTCATAACCACATATGTAAACCCGCACACCCCTAAGCCAGGTTCTCACAACAGAATGTCATTTCTCAAGGTTTTCTTTCATTCACATATTATTTAGTTTTGGTTCAATTCACTTTGAATTAGCCCAAAAATCAGTTGTATTAATCATGTGGTCCAAAACGAATTATACGCTTCTAATTTGTTTACTTCTACTCTGCAAAACATTTAAACATGAGTGCATGGTGTAAGTCATGACGCAGAAAATGTTAATGCAGTTGTCAGAAAGGTTCCTTCAGTTATGAAGTATAAGGGAATTGGTTCAAACGCAGAGGTTTTATTAAATTATAAAATGATAAACGGCTCGTCACCAGTCACAGGATCATTTTTCTTTACTCGCTGCCATGGATGCTGCCTGTGACGACATCCCAGAAGATTCTTGTACAGGGTGGGTGAGACACCCAAGAAGATGTTTTTCCTTGATGTACTGCGAAGGAGAACATCAGATGTAATGTAAATGAAAATATGTGGTCAGACCAGCAGGAGCGACAGGACAACCCATAGTGTGAAGCGGCCCTTTTCTTTCCAAAATAAAAATACATAAAATACTGTGTACATGTTTACTGTAACATATTTTTTTTCAAAGCTTCTAGATATAGAGAAACGCTAATAACATAAATTGAGCATCAAATGATTTTCATGTTGACAACATGACTAGGCATTTTGACTGGTATGTCTCTATGCGATGATTCAGAGATTTCACATTTTGATGGCATTGACTAAATGACTAAGAAAACTACATTTTCAAACATGAAAGGTTTTGAATGAATTTCTTAATTTTGCTAGTTATCCAAATTATTGTGATACAGTGTACAAACTACTTTGAACCTCAAGAATGTTTAGAGAAATTGTTCAAAAAACTGTAACATGCATTTCCCCAAGCGCTACAACTGACTAAATACAACTAGGTGCACATTTCTATTTGAACTCTAGATGTCGCTTTTTTCTTTTTCCTCTAAAACGCTCGTACGAGTGCTCCAGACAATTCGTATATGTGCGAACGTTTTCAGGATAAGACTTTCTTTATAAATACCCAAATCTTCGTAGAAATATCCGTGCGAATATCTATCGTCTTTTTTCATTCGTACGAACTCTTTATAAATTAGTTCCTGGATTCTACCCGCATAGGGACCTATAGGTAGGGCATTTTTAAAATCATTTTGCTTTAAAAACTTAAGTATAACTGTTAGGTCTATTCTTAAATAAATTATTTTAAAAAATGTTTGTGTGGTATGTAGTTTTAAACAATATACCTACATGCGGAATAAACAGAACAAATCTACCCTATTGTATATAAATATATATTGTGGGTTATATAGCTTAATCAGGAAAAATAACAGTAGGCTAAATATCGCATAGTGATCTCATTACCATCGCGTCACTGTTAAAGTACATTCGAGATAATGTCCAGTCAATATTGGGTAGCGATGTTTCTGCAGCGTTGCGCCAGTGAGTAAATGACCTCATGTGGTTCGTTTTGAAGTGATGTGCTATATGTGTTTTAGTTGCTTTGGATTGTGGCAAGGGCCACGTTGAGCCCCTACGAAACGTTACAAAACATTTATTTTAACGGAAAGTGTTGTGTTATGCAAGGGTGGTCAGTGGTGTAGTCTGCGTAATGTGCGTCCCATTGAACTATGCCGTGTACCAAATAAAATTCTCCATCGTTTTCGCATAGCCGGTTAACATTTACATCTACATTTACAGCATTTGGCAGACGCCCTTAGCCAGAGTGACTTACATAAGTGTTTTAAAATGTGCAATGATGCGCCGTATACAAACCATGAAAGGAAATGTGTGAAGAATCAAGGACGCATATGTTTTGTGACAGAAATTTCACAAGCTATTTGTTTTCGCAAACACTGGATTCGAAGACAGTAAGTGTTGTTGCCGAAAATGGAAAAAAACTTTATTATCGCTTAATCAGACAACCCCCCCGCCAACCCTGAGCACCAGCGAGCACATTTCAGAAACTAGAGTGCATACGCATGCGAATGCAGCAATGCGAGTGCGATTTAAAGATAAAAATGATGGGTTTGTGGGGTGCCCTAGGAGGAAGAGCTGGGGGCAAACATTTTTTTTTTTTTTTTTACTTCGGCGGGGTTTATGTATACGTCGCCGCTGATTGGGTAACACCTCTGACACGCCCACCAAACGACAGCCGTTTCACACCCTTTCGAGGAAACATATGTTATTCAAGCCGGAAACCGTAACAAAACGTTGCAGTTTTCAGCTTGAACGTGCCTCACATTTCTCCCTCTGACCGCTCAGTTGCAGCCGTTTCCTAACTAGCCCTGCTCTGATCATGAAGGCTTCCTGAGAGGCCAGTTATTTTAGGAGGAGGTGAAGGCCTTGCTTCCGGTTGTCTTTTTCCTTTAGGGAGAGATTGTTTTTGGCGCTGTTTCCCTTCTCTTCTTCTGGCTGGCTGTGATGCCTGAGGAGGAACCACTTTAGTGTTCCCTGTCCGTTTTCGAGGGTTTGGTTTGTAAAGGAGAATATGGGATGGCCTGTGGTGTTTCTCAAACCAGTCCTCGTGGACCCCCAGGAGTTGGAACTTGGGAGAGAGCAAAAACGTGGACCATCTCAGGGCCCCGAGGACTGGTTTGAGAAACACGGGCCTGCCAAAGCAAACGAGTGTGATCCTGTTTATAGTTGTTTGGGGCCTGATGGACTGGCTCTCTGGGTAGGCCTTGGGGCTTGTAAAGGTTTGTGTTTTTTTTTTTTGTGGGCTGTGGCTTAGGGGGATTTTATTAATTGGTTTTTGGCCTCTCCTGTCCATTTTTTCTGCCATTCTGTAGTCATAGCTTAACTGGGGCTAAATTGCATGCTCTCAAAAAGAGGAGAGAACTAGGAATACCTTTAATAACTCTTCTCATGATTTGATGTTTGTGATGGAATATAATTTCCTGTAACTATCTGCAAAATATTTTTCAATTTTGCAGTGATGCGGAGAAAAACGTTAGAAGATTTATTGTAGTTGGGTAATGATTCCACAAGAGGGCGCAAATCAGTTTTATTGATGTATGCAATTCTGGTTGTAGAGGTTCCAAATGACGACCGGAAGACTCGGTATGATAAATAAAACAATTAAATTTCTAAGCTGGTTAAAGTGTTCGTAGTTCTGCCTCAAGTGTAATTTTTAAAGAATTGAGATGGAATTATGCTTTTGCTATGATCAATAATGTGAATAGAGCTCTTAACCAGTGTTATTTTGTTGCTGCAAAGATAAAACCGCATGTGGCTGTATAACACACACATTCAGATACTACATTTCTGTGAATCCATTTGTTTCCTCTCCCCTCAAGCATATGCGGTAACAGATGGAGTCTGAATGTGAAGGGGTATGAACTGGAACAGGCCAGTGCATTACTGCACTGCAACTTCATCAGTGTTACCATAGCTACTGTTGATCTAGTGATTTTGGGGCAAGATTGGATCATTTTTTCAGCCCGGTATTTTCCATTTTTTTAAATAAAACAATTAATGTTCGATTATTGTTGTTTTGGAATGTATAATAAATGCACAGATATACATGGTGTTTAAAAACCAAAATTTTTGGTTCTCTCATTTAGAAAATAAAATATTTTGAAGGAAGTACAGGTAAATATAGATGCTAAAATGGTCACCCTAAGCCATCATCCACAAAAATACGTCACCAGAGGTTTAATTTACCTCTCTGTAAAATGCACAAATACATGGACACACAAGATGTAAACAAATCAGATACATTTGGAAAAAAGCCTTTATTTTTCATCCAAATTGTCTTATAATAAATAGATGAAGCAGGTGCAGTTTACCTAGCCCACACTGCCTATATGTATCACCATTTTTAAATCCCCTTCTCCACAGCAAACTGTTCACAGAATTTACAGCATAAAGAAAGCTTGACACAAGCTGAAAATGTTGCCACCAGCTCGTTCTGTTCCTGAGCTGTGTTTGTGTAGCAAACCCCATGAACTATATTATTTACATACACACAGCTATAAAGTATTTACAAACTTTAGCATATAAAAGAAAATCAATGATGGAAAGGTGTTTCTACAAGAAACCATTACCGAAGTAAAACAGGGGACTGTTATGTACAAGGTGCACTTCTCACTTTTTAATGCCTTCTGAAAAAGTGTTGTCCCCTCTATCATTCCTACTTTTATAAAACTGCAAAGAAATTTCTTCACAGCTTCAAGATATGACTATAAAAAACCCTATAAAACAGGGTGTTTCAGCAGGGTACCTATAGAGGAGTGGTTGGGGGGGGTCACAGAGATGTTGAGGTGGCCCCCGTTCCATAGTTAGGTCAGATGTTAGTGGTAGGGGATCCCCACTCTCCTCTCTTTTCACTCAAGGTTTAAGAATGGCTGAAAATTCCAGCTATACAACATGAACATCACTGGTGAAAAATCGGTATGCAACTTCAGGACCTGAAGGAGTGGCAATTGGCCTGTTATTCTGGATTCTGATTGGCTGCTAAAGTCCCTGTGAGACACACCCACTGTCAGCATGTTCTCCAATGGGAACAAAATGTGCTGCCAATTGTTTGTTGCCATGGCTACACAACTACCAAGACTACGAGGACATGCACTCACAATTTAGCTTATCAGGAGCCAATTTTTTTTTTTGGGGGGGGGAGGGGGTATTCAAATGAACTGACTATCTCCCCCAGTGTTTTGTTTGTTTAGGGAAAGTATAGAGCTGAATTTACTTGCCGTTGACATTTCACAGACTCTCCCATCTCATTCGTTAACACAAACTACAGTTTTCAAGGGCCATGGCCACTGAGGATATAAAAATGCTCTTTAGAATATTGTACACAAGATAGTGAAATAATGTCTTCTGTTTTCTGTACAGCATTTTTAATCTTTCACTGTACATATTTACAAACATTGTACACTCCAAGAAATCTGAAAATAAGGTCATAATGTGGCGTCTCATAACTGAAGCCTAAGTGCATTATAGACCAGTTATAGCTGAATCATTATAATATTCTTCATAAATCTAACCTCATAACTTAACCAAGTTTATAGTGTCTTACACAGAACAGAAATGTTAGTGGAAGACCTGAGGGTAAAATTGTGGTTGTCAGTGAAGCAGAGGTAGGAGCTCAGGTGAGTATGTTTTGCTTTAAAAATGTTTTTTTTTTTTTTTGTTTTTCTTCTGAAGAGGACGAGGGCAGGACACCCCCTTTGCTGGTAGGTCTAACTGTCCCACAAGGGTCCCGGACTCCCAGGCTCCCATTGGGGGACACACAGGCACATTTCCGAGCACAAAAGGCAGGAAGACATCAGACAGTGGGGTCCACAAGGACGCAGCAGCAAGCAAAGCGCCAGTCTGCCCCCACAAAGCTCCTCCAGACACAGTTCAAGTACCAGCGAACAAAAGCTTACTTTCAACACAGCCTGAGTCAGCTCAACAGCTCAAAATCTTTAAAAATGATTTACATCCAGCTTTTAAGTGCCTTTCAAATTCATGATGGTGCACGGCTCCACCCAGTCCATGTCACTATGCAGGTGTCTTGGCCGCATTCTGCCATGCAGCCAGCAGGTGGCCCTGTTTACTAATACTGCTGATGGTGCTTATTTTCGCTAAACAACTTGCCCCAGAACACCAAGGAAAATACACACATGTAACCATCCCTTTCTGTCTACTAGCTTCCAAACGTTCTTGACTGTAACACTGTAGTGTGACTTCTGTGGTTTTAATGCTAGCTTGGAATAATAATTAAAAATCAGGAAGATGTGTAACAACTGGCCTAAAAACATGAGCTTTTTAAGTGTAGTAAATGAGTTGGGGCTTAACTTCATAGAATTAAAAGTCTTCGCGGGGTCCTTCACTCAGAAGTGGCGCCATAAAATAAGAACGAGGAGGAAACAAGCTTGACGTAAACGTTGGGGAGATGAGCAGCTCTGGCAACATGCTTCTCAGCGGTCAAGCAAGTGATTTAGCAACATCACATATGACCATTGGCAAAGAGTGCCGGACACATGGCCCAATGCCCTGATGAGTATAGAGGAACCTTCCATGTTCTGCCAGCAGACAAACAGTTGATATGAACTCTACATGCCATCTATGAGAACTATGGGTGACAAGGGGGATGGGGGTAACCAGCAGCAATCTGGGTGGGGGCCACTTGGAGGACCCGTCTTCACATCGAAGGAAAAGGAGCTTAATGTGTAACTTAGTGGGGGGAAGGTAAAAGATGTCGGACCGCTGAGCTTAACATTAACCTGGTGGGGGAAGGTAAAAGATGACGGACCGCTGAGCTTAACATTAACCTGGTGGGGGAAGGTAAAAGACGACAGACCGCTGAGCTGAAAGTGCAACCCTTCAGTGGTGGCGGGGAATATGGGGACAGTGGTGCTTCGGGCAGACTGAGGAACCATAGCCACATCAGAACACTTCCGGTGAAATTCCAGAATCAAAAGGTGGAAGCAACATCTGCATCAAGTCCTGTAACATCCAGTGACAGTGGTGTTGAGCACTGCGCAATGGGCAGGGTTATCCCTTGTTTCAGCTCCACCATTTCGATTGTTTTTCTTGATTGGCTGGCTTATTTGGCATGGCATCACCAAGAGATGGGGGCCTAGTTCAGGGTGCCCCGGCAGTTCTCAGCCCCACAGAGGCATGGAATCTTTACATCCTCGATGGGGAACTTGTAGTCATAGGTGATCTCCTCATTGACGTTGATGGCCTGCCGAGAGTAGATGACAATCTTCTTCTGTGACTCCACTGTGATGATCTTGGCGTAACAGTTGGGCTGAAAATCAAGGAAGGTCATCATCAACCATCATTGACCTTGAACTGGTAGATGGGACAGCATGGATCTGCCCCCCCACCCCCAGTGCAAACTACACCTCTCTTAGATGAATAGAAGAAGGGTCTATTACTCACATTGCAGCTGTGGTTGATGAAGCGGGCGAAGTTGCCGCATTTGGTGGCATCGATGATGGTGTCATGGTCGACCCGGAACATGTAGCTGCTGCCGATACCCTCTTCCTCATAGCGCTTCTCCCGCATGTCCGCAATTACCTAACACAAGGGAGAGTAGCCAAAACCCTCAGTCAATTACTTCCATTCTTCATGATAGATTCTACTTGTCTGTTTCTTCAGCTGAAGGACCTTTCAAGTCTCCGATCCAGTAGGATAACGACAGTGAGAAGCTGGCCTCCAGGGCTGAGAGCCTACCTGTCTGATGTTCTGCCCCACATACTCGATCACCATCTCATCTGCCGCTATGGGCTCCAGCGCGAACAGGCCCCAGTCGTGGATGCCGCTCTTGCAGAAGCGGATCTTCTTCTTGCGGAACTGGGAGACAAGGGTGAAGGTCAGGCAAATAAGCTAGCTGGTCTCCACAGGTTCCTACCTTGATTGGTTCTTAAATTCAAATAAACCATAGTAACAGAACTTCTACCTTCTAATATCAAGAGGGAGATTACCTTCAGCTGGTTGAACTTCAGCAGGTCGCTGTCGCAGCTGAAGGAGGAGAGGAGGCGCCGCTGTTCGGACCTCCTCTCAGAACCGGCCCGCGTAGAGGACTGGGGTTGTGCTGGATTGCTCCTGCCCTGTGAACAACAACACAAAGGTCACCACATGGTCTCATTTCTGCGTTTACCAGTGTTAAGACCAGTGTACCAAGTCCTTTCTTCTCTCTCAAACTGTGAATCGGCAAATAAGTGGGCGGGGTCACAAGATGATCTTCTGAGTTTAAGTTTGCAGACTCCCCCAGACCCCCCCCCCCCTCCCAGATCTCAAGGAAGAAACAACTGAGTGCCTTTGAAATTGAGTATCTGCTGTTAGTTGGTCGGGGACCGCTGATCTAGCGCACTGAGACAACCCCAAAGAGTCATAGCAAGACCTGGCCATTAGAGGGCATCCTTGCACACAAACCTGGGAGCTCAGAGGAGGCTCCTCCGAGAGCAGCCGAGTGCTGTTGAGGTATTTGATCTTGTCCTTCTTGTCGATCTTGTAGTAGCCCTCGCTTCGTGCGCAGCCTGTCACGTGGTCCCTCATCCCATCTTCCCGCCTCTTCCTCTTCACGCCAGGGAGCCAGGTGGGTGCCACGGAGTTAAGGGAAGGGTAGTTATTGGGCAGTGTGGGTTATCAATCGAGCTGATCGCTCTGGTGGCCCAAAGATCGCGTACAATACACACTGAACCAGTAGCATCGCTATGACAACAGCTTATGATTAGTCAGCAGGTTTTAATATTTAATTAGTGCTTAATTAAAGCTAATTCGTGTATATTCTGGCTATTTGTGTATGGTGCATAATAAAATAGTCCAGACCCCTTTGTTCTTAGAGTTTTGGCAGGACATAAAGCACAGTGTCAGCGTTTAAATGCCCTGATGTGCATCATGTGACCAGAACGGCTACAGGCGGCATGTGTAATCCCTGCAGCAAAGGATATAAGGGTGCTGCACCCAGAGCGTGTCGTTCAGCCAGTCGCTGCCCATGTCCTGCTGCAGCATCTTGTTGTAGGTGACCTCTAGGAGGCGGATGTCTTCGTCGTCGATGCCCTCGTTCCAGATGTCGTACAGGATGGTCATCTCCTCGAATTCCGAGCGCAGGCAGAACCTGGGCCGTGGCAGGGGTGGTGATGCCGGCAAACGCCTCTCCTTGTGCCATGAGGGAGGTGGCGGCTCCTCCCCAGGGAGCTTACTCTCCAACTCCCGTGGGGGGGTCGCGCCCCGCGCCTCTGGCTCTGCCCAACCTTCCCTGAAATCAAGGGCCACGCGTGACGGCTCGGTCCAGCGGGAGGGTGCAGCCACGCCCCCCGAGCCCAAATCCAGATACAAATCTTTCCCAGGGATATCTGGGGGCAAGGAAGAGGCCCAGATGGCCCCCTGGTGTTCCGGAGAAGAGGCTGCCAGCGAGGTCTTCTTGGGGCGGCCAGGTTTTCTCTTGGGGGGGGTGGAGTCCGGTGCCACCTGTAGCCCGTCCTGCTCCTTGGGCAGGCTGGCGTGGGGGGCGGAGCTAAGCGACGGCTCTTTGAATTGGAAGCGTTCGTCCAGACTGTCGAGCGAAGCCTTCCGTTGGTCTGTGAATGGCGGCATGAAGATGAAATCCCGACCCGGAGTCCTGGGAACACCGCCACCAGCCCCAGGGGACTGAGCGGGGTAGGAAAAGGGGCTACCCGGAATGTGTGGGGAGCCGAGCGTCAGGCTGTTGGCCGTGAGAGGTGCCTCGCCGCCCGGCGTGCTGGGGACCGTCTCCGTGCTCTGGGATTTCCCTAAGCATGGGCCCCTGCCTGGCAACTCCCTCCCTGGGGTGCGGGGCACGTCATCCTCACTGGGTAGCCGAGAACCCGAGCGTGACTCAGGAAGGCCCGGCAGGAAGCGGGCCTCAGCGACTGAGTCCACTTGGGGGGGCAGGGACAGGGTAGAGGGCGGCCGGGGCACCTCCGCTTCCAGAGGTGTGGTGGTCTCCCGTCCTGGGGTAAGCGGAAGCACCTCCTCCTCTTCCTCCTCAGCCAGGGTGCCCTTAGGCCGCACCTCCAGGTCGGTGTATGCTGGGGAGCCGCTCGGAGTGGGCGGGCGAAGGAGGCCAACCCTGGAGGCCAGCTCCGGCTGCAGCTCTGCCCAGCAAAAAGGAGGGTGATGTCAGGAAGCAGAAACCAACCCGGACGCCATACAGACCCTTCAGGAGGGAAACACTCCTCAAGCTGCGGACTACATGCCCTTCTTGTGCATCACTTTGGACAATAGAGTCTCGGATGAAATTCCTCAGTTTTGTTCCATGTATCACATTAACGGCAGTGACAACATGTACCAAAAAGCATTTTGTCACAAGAATCATCGTGCCATAATTTAGACTGTTGGTGCATTTTAATAGCACTAGGGACTACGAAGGGAACGAGCATCACATTACACACTAGCATGTGATAGAACCTGCCGTTAATGTCAAAAACAGTTCCTGTTCACACCGAATAAAATACAATTACCCATGTGTTTTTAATCATACTTAAATTAGCCAAATGTAACGGACTAGGCATGACTGAATCTTCTGCCTGAATAAAGAAAAGGTCTAAGATAGAAGCGGAATGTTGAGCACCTTGGGGAGAGGGCGGGCGATCCCGGCCTGTCCTGACAGAGTCCACGACTTCCGTGGACCTTCTCTGCAGCTGGACATCTGGCTCCTCTTGAAGGGTCCTCTCCGAAGTCACCTCGGACGAGGAGGCGCGAAGTTTGGCCGTCTCCCGCTCTGCCGCCTCCTCATCGGAAGATGACGAAGACCGAGAGACGGACGACGAAGAGGAAGATGACGATGAGGAGGATGAAGATGAGGCCATAGGACGCTCGTCTCCCTCTTCCTTCTCTGCCTTATCACGTCTGCTTGCAGGCTCCTCGTCAGAGCTAGAGTCATAAGTGGAGGAGTCTTCGTATTCCCGTGAAGACTCCGAATCTGACCCAGAGGAAGACAACTCTTCTGGGTGAGGAGAAAAACAAACATTAACAATCGATTACTGGGCAGCCATGTGGAGACACACAAGAAGGGTACACATCTGAAGGCTTCCTCACCACAGGAGATGATCAGTCACCTTAGGATTTCCTTTAAAGTCTTGCTTTCAAACATCAATCCAAGGCGCGCTCTGCAAGCTTAGAGTACAGCTGTGCATTTTGAAAAGCTCCCCTCTCACATAACCGATGCAGGTTATTGCAGATTATCAAACCAAAGACCCTCCCTCCTCTATCTTTTCACTTGATCTTAAGACGACACTTGTTGCAGTGGTGTGGGAATGTATGCGAGCTGCACTGGAATGCTCAGCCATGCCAAGAAGTTCATCTCTATGATGAAGACACTTCATAATGACCCCAAGGCATGTGTTCTTACAGGTGCAAGTACGTCATCTCCATTCCAGCTTGGCAGAAGTATGAGACAAGGTTACCCTTTATCACCGCTGTCCCACTTACCGCAGGGTCAATGAACAACATCGTTTAATATCCCCAATAAATATTCAAGGCCACTCACATAACATCCTGCTTTTCGCTAATGGTAAGCTCAGCAGATAAAGACAATGCCAAATAATGGCTGCCACATCAGTGCTAAGAATGGACCAGTGACTGAAAATATGCTTTGGGAGTGCTGGAAAGTATCTGAGCTCTCCTGCTCACCTGTGACCCTGGACCACCTCGGACCTGCGCTGCACCTTAGCTTAAGGGGAAGCGCTAAGCAGACCCTGCCAAGACAGCACTCGACAGAATTACCCCGACGTGCCTGTCAGACAAACCACACCTCCCACCGAGCGAGCGGTAGGCAGCAGGCCTGCTCATGTAGGCCTTCCGATCCTATATCCCATCCCATGCTCTCACCCTAACAGTATGCCGCATTACAGAAATACAAATCTTGAAAAAATGAGACAGGATACTTTTATTAATCCTGAAGGAAACTAATCCTGAAGGAAACTGCAGATCACCTCTGCCCACTTGGTGTACGAGGAACCCCAGCTCCTAATGTTATTTTTCCAACTGGTTATTTGCCCGTGGTCAGAAGACAGATTGCCAGGTGTTTACAATTCCAATGTCATGTCCACATGAATTAAGTTTTCGCACCTGGCCATTGATTGGTTTATAACCCAGGTCATCAGGACTCTGTGACCTGCTCTGTTAGTTAAAGAGACCACTGGGGAGTGGTTCCGTCACCATGGTATTATGTGTTTAGCATCTGTAATCAGATCTCACACACTTCCCATATGTACTTCCTGCGGGGCATGCATCACTCCGCCTCAGCAGCCACTTCACATAGACCTGAATTTGGCTCTGAATTTTATTCAGTGTTACAATTCTGCCCAGGAACTGCATTGATTCATTCCCGCTTTTGTGGAATTTCCAGCAGAATCTCCAGCAGACTCCTGGCTTTTCTAAACACCCTGCATAACCTGTTATCATAACCCATTATTATGATGTACAACTCTGAGGAAAAAATTAAGAAACTGCTCCATATTTTTAAGAAGCTGTGTTGTTAAATCCTGGTTTAATCCTGGTTCTGCTGACAGAGGGCTATGCTGAGCAGCAGGTTGCTTCCAGGTTCAAAATTTCTGTTCTTGTATTTTTAATTTTTGTTCTTTTGTTGACTTTGGTGTGCATGTATATTTATAAACTGTAGATGTTTCTGAGCTACCCAATCTTTTGTAAAAGTAAGAACACAAGAACATAAGAAATTTACAAGCATGAGGAGGCCATTCGGCCCATCAAGCTCGTTTGGGGAGAACTTAACTAATAGCTCAGAGCTTTTAAAATCTTATCTAGCTCTGATTTAAAGGAACCCAGGGTTTTAGCTTCCACTACACTAGCAGGAAGACTATTCCATACTCCAACTACACGCTGTGTAAAGAAGTGCTTCCTCAAATTCAGTTTAAAATGTTTTCCCGCTAATTTCCACGTATGGCCATGAGTTATAGTATTTAAACTAATATTGAAGTAGCCATTTGGCTGAACAGCATCCAGACCTGTTAGAATCTTATAGACCTGGATCATGTCCCCCCTTAGTCTCCTTTGCTCGAGGCTGAAAATATTCAGCTCAGCTAACCTCTCCTCATAAGACATTCCTCTAAGACCAGGAATCATTCTCGTAGCCCTACGTTGAACCTTTTCCAAGGCAGCAATGTTCTTTTTAAGGTATGGTGACCAAACCTGCACACAACATTCTAGGTGGGGTCTTACCAAGGAATTATATAATTGTAGCATCACCTCCTTTGACTTAAACTCCACACACCTAGAGATGTAACCCAACATCCTATTGGCCTTTTTCATTGCTTCCCCACAATGGCGAGAGTGGGACATGGAAGCATCAACATACACACCGAGGTCTTTATCATAATCTGCTACCTTTATTTCAGTGGAACCCATAAAATATCTGTACTTTATATTTCTGCTCCCTGCATGGATTACCTTACATTTATCTGTTAAATTTCATCTGCCAGGTATCAGCCCAGTCGCTAATTAAATCAAGATCCTGTTGTAGCCTCTGTGCTACTAATTTAGTATCTGCTACACCATCCACCTTGGTGTCTTCTGCAAATTTAACCAGTTTACTGTATGTATTGGTGTCGATATCATTAATGTAAATTAGGAACAATAATGGTCCTAAAATTGAACCCTGCGGTACCCCACTATGAACACAGGCCCACTGTGACATTGTGCTTCTAAAAACTACCCGCTGCTTCCTGTCTGTTAACCAGTTTTCGATCCAAGCTGCTACAGTTCCTAAAATCCCTGCAGTTTTGAGCTTAAGCAAGAGCCGTTTGTGGGGGATAACATCAAAGCCTTCTGGAAATCTAAGTCGATCACGTCGTAGGCCTTTTTGTGATCAATTTCTCTTGTAGCTTCCTCAAAGAATTCAAGTAGATTAGTTACACAGGACCTACCTCTCCTAAATCCATGTTGGCTATCCCTCAGAATGTTATTTGAATCCATGTAATCTACCATTTTCACTTGGATTATAGCTTCCATTACCTTTCCAGTTATGCAAGTTAAACTGACTGGCCTATAGTTTGCTGGATTACTTCTATCCCTTTTTTTGAATATGGGTGTTATATTAGCATGCTTCCAATCAGAACATACCACACCAGTAGATAAGGATTTCTGAAATAGTAATTTTAAAGGTTGGCTAATAATATCCCTCATCACAATTAAAACTATAGGTAAGATGCCATCAGGGTCCTGCGATTTATTTATTTTGAGCTTAGCTAGGCTTTGTACCACATCAGCCTCAGTTATACATATATTGGTCATAGATGACGCTGTATTTGTACTAAATGGTGGCAGGTTACTCGTGTTCTCTACTGTGAATACCTGTGTAAAATAATTATTAAACTCATTTACTATATCAATTTAATTTTCAATTATAAGACCCTTACTATCCTGCAGATTAGTGATTTCAGCTTTTAGAGCTCTTTTGGAGTTAAAATATTGGAAGTTATAATACACAGTTGATCACAGAAAAAGCTAACCACTGTCCTCATTAACTGAGGAATTGCAGAACACATATTTCACGTTCCCCCTGAGCCACAGACCACATGGACCTGTGGCTGTACCGACCTCACTAAATATCACCCTACGGTCAACAAACTTCATGGTGATAATTACCCTCATCTGATGAGTTGAAATCTTCCTCATCACTGTCAGAGATCTCTTTGGCATCATTCTCCTCCTCTTCCTCATCATGGTCCTGAAAGATACAGACTCATTCGTAAGCATGATCTGAGTGCGACAAAGCCAGCTTAAGGAGAACCTGTGTCATGCCATTTGGAAGACTGACATCTGAGGACTTGCCTTTACAAAGGAAAACTTGTCGGAAGATTTTTCTGACTCCTCTTCCTCCTCTTTCTCAGAGGTCTCTTCCTCTTCCTCCCCCTCGCTGTCAAGCTTGGTAGGTCTACGAACTGGAACTGACCCTTCGCCGTCCTTCCTGGAGTAGTCGGAGGACAGGTCTGCCCTGTCCCGCTCAGACTCTGGGGGGCACAAATAAGGGCACAGATGCAGTCGTTTGTCCCACCTCAGGAGGAACAGGCAGGAACGGGCTGAATGTGGCTGCACAGGGTCCTGCTGCTATCAATACCAGTAGATGTACACCTAGATATACTCTAACTCGCACATCAATCGTGTTAGTAAACGTCCCACTGGCCCTACCTTCCTCCTCCATCTCGTCATCCACAGGGGTGGAGGCACGAACCCGTTTGGTGTCCCCTGTAGTCCCTGGGTCTGGCGGCTCCTTCCTCTTCACCTATGTGAGGAGGAAGAATCTGAGTCAGGCATACATAGGCACAAAAGTACACAAAAGCGCACGTCCACTCAATTTAGCACAAGGATACAACATTGTGAGATACGAGGACAAGCGAAAAGGGGCTTGAGAACCTCCCACTTTTCCAGAACTTTCTAACCAGCTATGAGCCTCGGGGCTGATCGAGGATGCTCTGGACTTCCCTGAACAAGATGCCAGTCCATCACAGGGCCCATGGGTGCACAAATGTACACACACACCCAGAAACACAGATATTTAAAGAAAGCAATCCATCTGTAATCCATGTCTTTGGAACACAGGAGAAAACTGGAATGTCCAGAGGGGAAAAACAAATGGACGAATTTACAGTCTCCATTTGGAGGGGTGGCAATCAAGTCAACAAGCCTGGAGCTGTAGAGCCTTTACAAACAGTTACAAGAAGTAGCCAAAACAGGAGGGTCGCCACTAGGGCAGGCAGCTGTGCGGTACCTTGAAGGAAGGCAGCCGGATGGTGCCCCGGATACCCATCCCCAATCCGATGCCCTCGTAGCCCAGCCCCTCGCCCTTGTTCCAACTCTCCAGCAGGCTGGACACCACCACCGGCCCCTTGGCCTTGGTCTTCTCCTCTTCCTTGCTGTCAGCAGACTTCACTGGGGTGAGTGATGTCTGAGGGGGCGACAAGACAGCACCCAGGTCAGTATAAAACATGTCAAGGTAAACCAGGGGGGTCTGGTTTACATTTACACAATTGTTATACATTTAACTAGTCCATAGTGGTCTATAGAATCCTGACCTGCAATAATAAACTGTATCTGAGTTCATGACATTTTGAATGTTAAGAAAATGACAGGAAAGCAGTTAAAATCATTTAGTTTCACTTTTAAATGAAAACATCTCAGGATTTTAAAAGTCACGCTATCATTCTGCTATATCCAAGCGATGGTGTTCAAGTGATATACATTTCATAAGCTGAAATTTGGAATGAATATTTTAACTACATGCAAAACTGGCAAGTATGTAGCCACACGATACGATCGGTCCTCTATGGCAAACATTTTCTTTAACTGTGGGTAAGGCTGCATATCATCACATTACGATGTAACCGTGATTACATGGTTCCAGCCCGATAATCACCAGGGCTTTAGATGGCGGGCATAAACATTTGTCCAAGCACTGGCTTTTCGGTACTATACGGACAAAATTCCCAAAGCAGATTAGTAGTACGGCTAAAATACTGAGGCGTATTGTGATGCCCAAAAGTTAGTAATCTGTGTAGATTTGACATATCTTTATTTCACTGGGTTAGCAGAGCACGCCACATGCTACTGTTTTGATATATCTTAGAAGCGATAAGCACTGAAGTGGTGGTGAAGAAAGGGACAGCTCAACAGGCCCAGCATCTTTTACAAGAGGAGATATTGTGAATAAACCAGGCAAAAAGATGCCGGTGGTGTGGCGAGACTTTCTGCAGTTTAAAGTCAAACATGTTTATTAAACATAAGGATATGCTGCATTTATACAGATTACTAACTTCTGGGCGTCATAATTAATATTTTAGGGGCTCTACTAATCTGCTGACCAAACTGTGGGTGTTAGTAAACGTCCGTCCCGAAAAAGCCGGCATCCAGACAAATGTTTATGGCCATCGTCTAAAGCCCTGGAGATTATTCCGCATGCGCCACAAAATCACGATGTGGTATCGTGCAGCCCTAGCTGTGGCCTTCATGAGTGACACGTTGACTGGACACAATGAATAATCATCAAACGATCTGCGGTGGCTGTTGCCGACCCACCTTGGACAAGCGCTCCTTTCGATCCCACCACTCATCGAAAGCCCGAAAGGCCACCACCTCCACCATCTTGCGGTTGAGGTCTCGTTTCATGATGGCCTTCAGCTCCTTGACAATGACTAGCAGCACGCCGTCCACGGTGGCCTTGTGGGGGTCCTCCTTCTGCAGCATGTAGCCAGGCGGGGGCACCGTGGGGTTGAACCGGGGGAAAGCAGGCAGGTGCCAGGGCTGACTGCTGGGGGTGATTGTTGGTGGCCGGAAAGGTGTGCTGAATGCCCCGCCCCCGGCCGCACCCATGAGCGGCAGGTAGGGGTAAGGGTGCTGGCTCTGTGCCAGGCGGCTCATCATCTGCGTCTGCATCTGGATGGATATGTGCATGCCCCCCCACTGCGGCAGACCACCCGTCACGTCCATGGGTATCATGCCCGGTGGGAATGGAGGAAGCGGCTGCAGCATCGGGTGCGGGGGGGCCGCCAGGTGAGGAGGCGGCGGCAGGGGAGGGGGCGGCATGGGGAAGCCGATCTGGGGAGGGGTTAGCAGCGGGGGGAACCCAGGGAGTGGGAGGGGGATGGTCTGGGGGGGCATGGGAGAGACCGCCGTGTTGACCACGATGGCCTTGGCGCAGTCACCGCTGGTTATGGGTGCGCTGGGCATCTCGTCATCGGAGATCTCCATGTCCTCACCGGAAGACTGATGGCCCTGAGGTTATGGAATAGCAAAGGGGGGGGGGGGCACAATACAGGGTCAGTGCCAGTTCATGTCTGTGGCAATTTCTGAGTCATATGAAGGACAGCATGTTCAGTACCTCTGATAGGGGGGATAAAACAAATACCTGTTGGATAGGGGGGGACCACCCATTCCAGAGGGGGTGGGACTCTGGGGGCTGTGTGACCTGGACAAACCAGGGTAACGGGGCAGAGGAACATTTAAAATAGAGGCTAGAGGCCGTGTTTAAGTCTAACCAAGGGATATTTCAATAAAAGGAGCAACCGCTTTTAATATGTTATGGTAAAAGAAACATGGAGGTTGTTTATGACACAAACACATCACTGAATTGTGGAGAAAGCTGTGCCAAGACCAAAACGAAAGAGTACACAACATCCCCAGCAGAGACCCCTGAGGAAGAGGTCAGCAGCGAGTGTTAATCATCCACAGCTCTTGCTTCATCGGGGGGGGTGAAGGGGGCTGCCATGACAAGAGGCACCTCTCAACCAGGCGGTGTGGTTCTGCAAGACGAAGGAGGGGAAGCGAAAGCGCCAGGCCCATAACCACGACCCCTCGTGCTTCCTGTTAGCAACGGCAGCCCTGCAGCCTAGTCAAGCGGCAGGGGCCAGGCAGGGGGGCCGAGGATGACAGATGTCACTGCTAAACCTGAAGCCAAGCAGTCCGACAGCTCGCGGTACACGTGTCTGGTTACAGTCAGGGGATCGGGGGGGCTCCAAATGCACCATACCAAGCAGCTTTAAGTTGTCCCCCCCCCACACATATTCCCTGCATGACGTCAAGCGGGAAAGTACAGCGAAGTCCAGGCACGCCGGATGACACGGGAATCAAATCTCCCCTGGACAGAGTGCCCGTTTAAATCCCTCTGCACCGGATGGCAAATCAGATACGGCTACTGCCAATACCCTCAACCAAAGGCAATGAGAGCAGGACCTCTGCATATCTCCTCGGGCCTCACAGGTGAGCGAGCGGCTGGCGACACCGACAACAGAAAGGCAGGCTCCCCGGGGATGAGCGGAGAGACTGGTCTGCACCATTAGCATGCTATGCTATACTGCTTTAGCATACCCATTTAGCAAGTGCTATGACATTCCGGCTGTATTTTTTTTACAAGCAGACTCCACATCTTCAGAACGGGAATTCAAGTGATTAAGGATTCCTGAGGTTCTGCTGTACTGGTGCACTTACATACCGGAGTAGATTTGAACCTTTTTAGACAAAGAATAGCAACCTATCCCTTAGCTTCAAAACTACTGAAACTTAGCAGATTGCTGCCTTATTCTGAGACATCTTGATAACCACGGTAATACTTCCCACCACTGAAAGCCAGTTCTTCGTGACAGACTCCCTCACAATAAACACTCGCTTTCTCTATTTGCCCTCCCTCTCTTCTACATCCAGCCAATCTCTTCCCAAATCTCAATCATGGATGCCGCCCCTTCACTTCCGATTTGCCGTAGCCCACTTTGGGATCTGCGTCCTTGTCAGGAGAACAATGATCTGCTTTGGGTGTCACTCATACCCCTAAGTGAGCTTCATGCTTAGAGAAATGATGAAAGATTAATAAGCATCTCAGCCTATGTGTTTACAATGTTCGACCGACTTCAGAGAACTGAGTTATGCACTTAGTTGAAAAGTTTTGATATGAGAAGGTTATAGAGTGTTATTGGGCCCAAAAGGGCAATTCGCCAGAATTACACCAGTAAAAACCCTGCTATGTAACCCAAAGTGCAAACTGTACACAAAGTTAAAAGACTCGTTTCCCGCCAAACGCAAAACCTCAGATGTCTTCTGGTCGATTCTCTGAAAAAACGGTTAAGTTACATATAAAATGAAACCAAAAACATCAGAGGGGAAAATTACGCTGGAGCTCCAGCAGCCAGTGAACACAGAAGAGCCGAGGAGAGCTCCTCCGTGTCACGCCAAAAGATAAAAGTCACACAGAAAGACCGGCTTCACTAGAAAAGCAGAACATGGCATGCTAGCTCAAAGAGTCACGGTTCCTCCCGGTCACCCTGAATCCGGAATGGGATGCCAGACCGGTTGGGGCTGGGGGGTGAAGTCAAGTGAAAACGAAAGAGAAAGCCAGCACTGCGATAGTAGATGGGGGGCCCAGTGAAAGGTTTCCTGTGCAGGTAGCATCTGTAACCACACGGAAGAGGCCCCGACAAATGTGCACGCTGCTGTCACACTCAGCTAACGTGGGCGAGCACAAAATCCCCAACGGCTATTGTCCTATTCAGGTTCGTGGGGGGCCCAAAGCCTATCCTGGAGACTGCAGGCACAAGGCAGGGAATAACCCAGGATGGGGAGCCAACCCATCGCAGGGCACACTCACATACCATTCATGCCAATTGGCAATTTGGTAACAATGCAACAGAAATAATTGATATACAGACGTTTGCTAGGTTACGATGGTCTGTGTTATGATACTTTAACGATGGGTATTCCAATTCCATTCTGTTTTTCATTTTCAGTTCATTATTAAATTAATTCCATGACATATTCAACAGTATTATAAAATAGAGGCTTCATGATAATAATTTTGCCCAACTGTAGGCTAACATAAGCATTCTAAGCATGTTTACAGTAGGCCAGGCTAGGCTATGTTTGTTAGGCTAGGTGTACTGTATTAAAATGCCTTTTAGCCTTATGATATTTACTCGTTATTCCCAATCCAAACGTAACCCCATCGTAATCTGGGGAGTATCTGTATATGCAAATATAGGATTTATTAACTGAACCTATATTTCATGATTCAGACAGAGGACCGAGTATTTAACCCTCTGGGGTCTAGGGGTAGGGAACACACTTTCACTGACTGGGGCATGATCACCCATTTCTTTAAATATTCATAAACTTAATTCATGGCAAATAAATTATTTCTTATATATTTGTTTTGGCATTACACTCATCTTAATTTTAATGTATATTTTAAATATGTCAGATTTATTTTAGTTTGTAATTGGATATCAAAGTAGAGACATTGCAAAATGCAGTTTGGAACACTTGCAGAAACATTATAAAAGTACATAGTAAGCAATGCTGGCAGTTTGTTTTGATCCCAGATATCTGATCAGCAAAGTCTTGGTTACATGAAGATGACTAAATGGTGTAGATGCAACATTCATTTGGATAAATAAATAAGAAAAACCTCATGTCACT